AAAAAGGATTGTAAATGTTGGTATCAGAACAAGACAACAGGTTTTGCTCATTTTCAAGAAGTGATTGTGAAATTACATTATAATGGAAAATTGAAGAGATTCTGATTCTTAAATGGACTTCCAATGGAAAATTAGTTCAGTTTATTAAAATGAAGAAAGATGAACTTTGATAAGATGGAACAAGATCTTGATGACCTAAGCACTTGGGTCAGCAACACGATTGAATATTATTCCCCACATCCCAAGAATTACTTTGGAGAAATAAAAAAACAATAAAAATTGAGTACAGAATCGTATGTTTCAATAAGATATTTGAGAAAAAAAAAATATTGGTATATAAAAAATATGAGAAAAATATTTTTTTGGATGATTTTTGTTTTTTCCTATTTTGTCGTGGGATGTAGCAGCTAGAGAAAATTTCACTCCATCATTTGAGTATTTAGGTTGAATTTTTTACTTTTGATTATTTATTATGGTAGAATATTTTTTTAAGAAAGTATAAGAAACATAGAAATTTAATAAATTACTAAAAAAATAATGCATCCATATATAATATAAGGAGATTTGATAGAAAATAAAATTACAAAAAACATGAATGGTTAATTTTCCTCTCTTTTTTTCCCCTTAAAACAACAATTATCTGTAAACCAGATAATTTAGGCTAAAAGATCTTCTCAAAATTAGGAAAAAAAAATCCTAATTTTGTGCTCATTCAATTGGATTTTGAGTTAACTTCACAAGCTTAAAAAAATCATTTTTTTTAAATAAAATTATCTGTAAACCAGATAATTTAGGCAAAAAGTTCTTCTCAAAATAAAAATAAAAAATAAAAAATCCTAATTTTGTGCTCACTTAATTGGATTTTGAGTTATCTTCACAAGCTTAAAAAAACAAATCATTTGTTTTATTTGTTAAAATAAAAAGCTTAAGGCAATTAGCAATGTTTGTGAGCTCACCAATTAGGTCAAATTAACTCCAAAATAAATAAATAAATAATAATAATAATAATAATAATAATAATAATAATAATAAATAAAACAAACCTTGAGACCTCATCCCACAAAGGCCCCTTCTGATTGGCCTCCTTAAACCTACCGTCCATCCTCGACCGGACCTCAAGCAAAGTCAGCGTCTCCTGCCTCGGCCACCTCCCGCCGCCGCCGCTCTCCGCCCCGTACCCGGCCAGGCCGCCGCCGGCCTCGGCAGATGGGAACCCTCCGCCGTCAGGGCAGAAGTTGAGCACGTAGTAGGGGTGGCCGGCCTGGAAGTCCGGCGGCTGGGGGATGGATGGGTAGAAGCTCCGGCCGGCGGCGGCGAGGTGGTGCCTCAGATCCGGCAATCCGTAGTGATCTTCCATTTTGGGAAAGCGCGTCGAGAGGACGCGCCGCGAGGGTTTCCTTTTTAGAGAGATAAACAGAGAGGGTAGAGTATGAGCGGCTGAGGCGGATCGTGGTTTCTTAATAACAGAGGCAAAAAGGGTTTTTGATCAATTATTCATCAAGAGGACCCATTTGTCATAAATGTTACATCATCATGTGTGTATTGTGTATCTATACATTTTTTTTTTCTTGTATTTTTGTAGGGTTTGAGGGAGGTACATTATTTTGGTGCAATGTATGTTTGGTAGCAGTTTG